CAAAAGACATACATCTCTGAGTACACCTTGTTTAAGTTGTAAATGCACTTCTAGCTTTTATTACGTTAGTCCACTGACAGGTTAACTTTGTGTCTATGGCATCTCCTTTGAAATAAATTATATAGGCAAAATTTTAATCTTTATGAAATCTGGCAGCTTTTAATTTCAAATGAGTTCCATAGTGGCATATTTAACTCTTTAAACAAAACATTTGCTAGAGTAGGTGTCTTTTCGAAAGTAGATTGAGGAAGTGGAATAATATTTTGCAAAAATAGCTTACTTGGATGAAATTACTGCTATGTAATGTAAAAACTTATTTTCAAATCATGAATTGCTACTATATGTGGGATCTTTTGTGATATAACTAATTGCGTGGTTAATTAAAAAGAGAATATATGTGATATTTTAACAGAGACCTGATTGGCAGCAGATGGCTGATTAAGGAGGAACTAGAAGAAATGTTAGTGGAAAAACTGTCAGATCAAGATGTGAGTAATTAATCTTTTTAATTTAAGGGGACCTGTGCCATAAGAATGCAGACAATTGCTGTATTTAGGATCCTAATAGTAATGTTCCTCAGTGGCAGGTGTTCCTAAGGCAATTTTTTTCCTTTTTTTAAAACACATTCATTGTTGCTTTCTGCCATGAGAGGACCATATCTGTGGTCAGGAAGGTGACTTGTTAAGTTTCCAGATCCTCCTCTTACAAGTGCCCTCACGTCCTTTGCCAGTTGTTTTAGGGGAGTGCAGCAGATGTCATTTTTCATCTCTTTCAGAAAGGCCATAGCTAATTTTACAAGCTAATGATAAGTGTAAGGAGCCATTACAGGTTAAGTAGAAAAGGGATGCAGCACATGGTTACCTTCATGCAACGTGCTGCTTCCTGCCTTACCTTATGTGCCCTGTCTGTAAGGTCAGTGGTTTTCATCTTGGAATGTGCAAGCCACCTGTATCGGAATTGCTTGGAATGCTGGTTATAAACTGCAGTGTCCTAAGCCTCACCCCAGACCTGAGTCTTAGGGGGTCACCCAGGAATCCATGTTTTTAACCAACTTTCTGGGTAAATGTCATACTCTATAAAATTTGTGTCCCCTGCTTCAGGTCTTCGCTGTGTTCTTATTTTGTTAAACGTTCTACTATATCCCAATATCATCAGAGGAAGTTTGATGTTTTAAATATTTTTGATGTTCTAAGTAAATTACTTTCGAAGATTGGAGTGTAGATGAATTTCACAAATTGTTCCAAGAAGGATTTTTTTCTTCCATGGCAGCAGCTAACATTATTAGAGTCAGGCCACCATATAGATTTTAATGCATGTACTTTAGTTGCTCTTTTTCTCATTTAACATATTAGAGAAATTAATGATTTGGAAAAGTTGCCATTTGCTTAAACAAAGTGTCAAGCATTTGGTTAGTGGTAGATCTGGAGTTATTTTCTAATATCCTACCTGCTAGTATTGCTACACTTTAATGTAACTGAAAAATCTCTTTGCTTCTTCACTAATGTATCATTTTATTGTTTCCTCTGTTTTCTGGATGTGATTTTTACAACTCAGGTGGCTTTTTTTTTTCCACTTTGGAAATATCCCAAGGACTTTAATATAGGAATGCAGCTATGAAAACAAAACGTATTATATATTATAATCTTCCATATTTAGGGTAGTTGGTATCAGAAGAAATCCTGAAATTTATGGCTGGTATCAAGATGAGGGAGGCGATAGTAGTTACTGGCTTCTTAAATTTTAAACTTAGTTCACAAGCAGGCTGTGTCCTACCTGTGGTGCCCCTTTGTAGGTACAACACTAGTCATTGAGAGTGTGTGAGGTGGAATTGAGAAAATAGCTAAGCACAGAACACCTAAGCAAGTGATGAGGGGACACATGGAGCTCTGTCAGCCTGGCATCATAGGCGGCCAAGTGGTCGACCCTTAGAAAATTGCCTTCCCTTTTGTTATTATCACATCACAGAAAGCTGTATTTGCAGCAGTTCTTTTACTATTAATCTTACTGGTGAGACTTTTAAATATTTCAGACTGTTAAACTCGGATCTTTACTATAAAGGCAACGGTGACTAAGATGAGTATGATTTTTACGGTTGCAAAAAACATAAATAAAGAAAACTGGGTTTCACAATCCGTATTAACTAAAGATTTCAAGTAGTAGTTGTTTCCTTCTCCATAAACACTTTAGGATGATTATTCTGGCTTCTAATTTTAAGGGGTTAATTCCAAGTTGTTTACTTTCTAATCACATGTTCAAGAACTATTAAAAAAAATGCACAGAGGAGCAAGGATAATTTATTTCAAGAGGTTGCCCTTTAAGTCAAGTATCTCTTGAATTTTTAAATAGCTTGATTGTTCGGTTTTAAAGGAAATCATAAACATTAAAGTAACACAGCTTGAACAGCCAAAGATATATTTGCCAAATGTATTATGAAATATAATTTAAGAGGTACATTTTCTCAAAATCAAACTCTTTCCATTTTACTATACATAACTTACTGGAAATTATTTATAAAGTTCCTCTTGATACAGTTCTAATAAAAGAGTGGAAATTACACTTGAAGATGATCTAAATACTTTTTGAAAATGAATTTAAATCTCAATTTCTTAATCATAATACAGAGAAATTGATTTTTCTTTGAATGATAAATCTCTTTGTTTCTTGAAAGAAAAGATTTCACACTAAAGATACACAGGAAAAGTGATGCATCTGCATGCTGTTTGAAAAGCAGCATGAAGATGCAGAAGTGTCATTCTGTCAAAATTCATCAAGAAAAGCAACATTGGAAAGATCAAGTATGCAAAAATAGAAAAAATTTAGCAAATGCAATTACACTTGCATCTTCTAATGAATTTTTATTGTCTGCAGCATATGCACTTCATTCAGCTGCTGGAAAAGTTATTGACATTGCGGTGTGGTGCTGCTGAGGAAGAATTCGTGCAGAGGTTTCGCAGAAGTGTAACTATTCAATCAAAAAAACAGCTGATTGAACCTGTGCAGTATGACGAGCAAGGAATGGCCTTTAGCACAAGTGAAGGTAATGACATTCCGTGCAGAGAAAATAAATTTAGTGAAGATTGAAAAACTACAATTATTTTTATTTGCTATTGCTCTCTGGTATCCATTTGGTTTTTCTATTTATGTATTTATTTATTTATTCATTTATTTATTTATTTTTGCTGCCACTACATTGGATTTCCTAATTTGTAATGTATTGTTGAAGTTTTTAAAAACTGAACCTTACAATGTCTCAAGAAAAAATGTGGATGCATACCTACGCAATCGTATTAACACTTTTTATTTTTATACATCTATATTAAATCTTTTTATTTTCACATTTTATACTGGTAGAATCCATAAAATATATGTAATAAAGGTTTCTTCTCAAAAAATGAAAATGCTCAGTGAATCTGCATGACAGATACAACTATATAACATGTGAAAACTTTGGGTCCTCAACTCACATTTTCCTTTGTATGTTCAGAGACATTTGACATAGTCCAACTATTAAGAATTGATCTATTAAATAATATATTTGCAAAACTCTCAAAAATTTTAATATCATTCCTTTGTCATTTTTAACAACTATAGTGTTTTCAAAGAAATGTGACCTTTCCTGAATATTTCTTTCATTTCTACCAATTATATTTCATCATATTATTCATATATTTCTAAAAGTTATATTATTAGATATATTCTTAATGATTATAAAAGAACACTATGTAAATTGGTTGTTTTTTTTTTTTAAGTAAGGTAAATGAATATGAATTACTTAGTTGGTTGTTGAAACTAATTTAAAATCATTGTAGTGTTTCTAAAATGGAATTGAAGAACAAAATTACCTCACAATAAGCTTTATCATGTCTGTTGTAGTGCAGTTTACCTATTTTATCTTTGTTTGGCTTGCAATAGTTATAGAACTTTCCTAGGAAGAGTGTTGTATATTCTGGGTATTCAAATTGTAGGGTAGTTTCACCTGTCTCACAGTACTGGTCTTTAAGATTTTTCCTAATATGAATTTTATATTTTTAAAGGTAAAAGAAAGACTGCAAAAGCAGAAGCCATTGTTTATGCACATGGAAGTGGAAGAATAAAAGTAAATGGAATTGATTATCTGCGTTACTTCCCGATCACACAGGACAGGTTCGTGTTTCGTGTTGGTTTTGATTTTTATTTTTAAAGGAAATACATTAATACTTTATTATACATCATGATCAATGTAGGTGGCTTACGATTTTCTATTTCTGTTTGTCTGGATGATTATTTCTCTTTATCAGTGTAACATATCAAACTAGCTAAATGGAAGCTATTGCTATTTTTTATGTAGCTTCCAGATTTTTAAAAAAGCATCTCTAGAATTCTTCATTAATTGACTCTTCCTCCTCTTCTCATCAGATCCTACTGGAATCTGAGTATTCTTAAATATACCTGATGTTCTAAAATGTAGACTATGCCAAAGTGTAAGAAAAGTAGATTCCCACCTTCTAGTTTAGGGGTGGGTGTGCCGAAAACAAAACCACCACCACAAAACCAACCTTAGATTTTATAGCTAACTTAAGCCACTAGGTAAGGAAAAGTACGAGCAGATTTCTTGTGGTTTGTATTTTCCTGATCATAAATGTTAGAAAAAGTCTGCTTTACCATTTTGGCTTTTTTTTTTTATTCAGAGGAGCATGATTGTACATATACTGAGCAAGCAAAGAAACCTAACATTTATGGGTTAAAAATAAGAGCTCATCAGGTTTTGCTTAGTTCCCAGTGCTAAATACAACAGTTCTATTTTTTAAACTTTGTATCCCATGGAAAAATAGACATTAATCATAAATAGATACTACAGTTCATCTAATCCTCTAAATATACTCATCTTAAATCTCTCTCTGAGTTGCTATATAAAGGCCTCTTCTTGAGGCAGTTATATTTTTCCAGTAGTTACTGTCATTATCCGTAAGTAACAGAAGTTCAGTATGATTATTTCCTCCTTTCGTAATCCTTCTCCTGTTTCCTGAATGTGTTATAGTATTTAAGGTTAAAAGGGCTAAAGCTATTCTGATCCCAATGCTTATGTAAGGCAAAGAGGACCCTTCTAATATAGTTTAAGCTTCTGTACAAAATAATTATTGTGGGAAATGTATGTTTGTTTTATTTGTGTGTGGGGCTGTGTCAAGAAGTAGCCACTCTTAACTCTATTTAAGATGAATTAAACTAATTCTGCTGTTATCCTCACAGGGAAAGGGATGGAGTAAGCTCCTATTTTCCACTTAGGAAAAGTCAGAGAGAGACCCATACTACAGGAGATGTTAATTTCGGCATTGGGAACTGCAGAAGGAATGACATTTGACCAATCACCTGCCTGTCAATTTATATTCAGATATAACACCTGGTGATTTAACAGCAAGTCTCCATTATGACTTGATATCACAATTAAATTACATCCTTAGATCTTATTCTTCAATTTGAATTCAGCAAGCATTTCCTAAGGGTTTTCTGTGTGCCCAGTCTTGTCCTGGGTATTGTGAAGATATTAGAGCTATTTATGATATGATTCCTATCGTCAAGAAACTTTCTATCCAGTTGGGAGGCTTAGGGCTAGTCTTGTGGGCATGAGCACCCCAACCCTCTCATCATCTGTAAATAGCTGTAGGGATTTAGGGCAGTATCCATTCCGGAGCTTACAAGTCAGCAGTGAAGTGACCATTGACCAATAGGAAGACTAATGAACCAGGAACCAGGGATCTTGATTCTAGGTCTCTGCCTCGTCTAACACACAGTTAAGTGAGTTAGCGACGTGAAGTGAAGTTACAGGAGAGGCTTTTCTGGACGGCCATTTCTTTGGGAGCTTAAACACTTACCTGTCTTAATTCCTAAAATTTTAAGATTCTCTAACAAATACTTATGTAAATAAATAGATTAAAATTCAGAAAAAATAGATTTTATAATGTAATTACTAGAAGTATATCAGAGTAATAGAGCCAGACTGGTTAAGGTAAATGCAATAGTGGAATTAGATTATCAGTCTCTAAATTTTCTTTTCTTTCTTTTCTTTTCTTTTTTCAATTTTTTTCTTTTTATTTTTTTAGAGACAGAGTCTTACTCTGTTGCCCAGGCTGGAGTACAGTGGCACAATCATAGCTCACTGTGGCCTTGAACTCCTGGGCTCAAGTGATCCTCCCATTTTAGCCTCTCCAGGAGGTAGGACTTCAGGCCCCTGCCACCCTACTAAATTTCCTTTAGTTATGATGATATGGCTACTACTTATAACAGTTCTGTTTTTATAACTTATAGCTATTTTTTACTTGGTCTCTTTGAAGCATTTATTCAAAAAGACAATATAGGTTTGTTTTTTGTGGTTGTAGGAACTGTGTCATCCTTATATAGTATTATTGAAATTTTTAGTTTGCTGTTGTGTTTGAAGGTCATCTTCTGTCCCTCTGCATATGATTATTTTGCTAGTGCAGTGCAAAGAGTAGCACTTGAATGTCCTTTCTATATCCATCTCTTGGCTTAACTATGTTATATTAAACTTTATTTTGGGTCTGAAAGCTACAATGTCAGATAAGGTAAGCAAATTCAATATAAATGGACTTTTCTAAATCAAAGTTTAGCAGAGATATTAAGGCAAAATCAAAGTGCTTGACAGAGGTGATGGTGAACATCATACCTGGCACAGAAATGGTGTTCAGTAAATACTTGTTCAGCTGAGGGAAAGAAGGGCCAGGGCCACATTCTGTCTGTGTTGCTTTCTCTGTGGTGCCTACCTGAGCCACGTGGGCACTCACTGACCCTGAGGTAGCCAGCCAGACTGAGGTTGTCTAGGGTGTCCTGGCTCCAGAAAGATAGCAGGACACTGCAGCTTAGAGAACTGTTAATAGGAATGTGTGTTTGGAGGGAGTGGGTGTTAGTTAAATGTGTCTTTAGTGACTTTAAAAACTATTTCAACATTCGCAACTAACTACATTATCATGTATGTTCTTTAATGAATCCAGATGGCATTTGATAATTGTCTGGGAAGACCTGTTAATTTTATGTCTGATTGTTGAATCCAGAGAGGTTATATTCTATTGATTAATGGCGTTTTCCAACCTTGAGACTTCTTTACAAGGTTATTTTTAAGCCTTGCAAAGTTCTTGTGAGGTAAAGGGAATCAACAAACAGTAAGGTAGAGCGTATTGCTATGCTCCATATATGAGGTTATTGCTATACCCAAGAAAAGATAAATAAACCTTACAACTCTCAGCAAAGTGTTCTAAATGTCAGAAATATCAGTGTTTCTGTGTCTTGGTATAATGGATTGATTGAGAAGTATGAAAAGTATCACATTGGCACGCAGAATATGGCTCTTATAAATATTCTGAATGTCAACTATTTATAAGATCATGTACCTTTACAGTAAATTTAACCACATTTACTTATGATGTGCTTTAGAGAACAGTTGATGTTCCCTTTTCACTTCCTTGACCGACTTGGAAAACATGATGTGACCTGCACCGTCTCAGGGGGTGGGAGGTCGGCTCAGGCTGGAGCGATACGCTTGGCGATGGCAAAAGCCTTGTGCAGTTTCATCACTGAGGACGAGGTTGAGTGGATGAGACAAGGTATGAGTAGCTGGGAGGGGCATGGTGGTCTGATACTAACTGCAAGTGTTTATCTGATTCTTGTACTACTGACCTGAAATTAGTGAGGGAATACTAAGTTAAACACATAATATTTGCAGTTTGCTGGCTGCTTCTTTCATGCTATAGAACCATAACAGTGTTTTTCAGGTTTGATTTTTACCAAGTGAACTTGAAGTAGAAAAAGAAAAGCAGGGCACTCCCAGCGATGATTATTTGGGCCCTGCTAAAATGTTCAGTCTCCAGGTCAGGCAAAGTTTATTTTGGCCTTAGTGCATAATCTTTTGTCCAGTTTAACAAAGCTCTTAGCTCAGTTGTGTTTAAGAGACCAATTGGTTGTTTTTATTTTATCATAGAAATTTGTAGTAATTGTTTGGTTAATGATGAAGCCCTTAGTACTTCTTTCCAAATTATTGGGGATCTTCATTTTTCCCATTGTGGTGTTAGTTTGAATTTTCTTTCACCTCACTCTGTGTGACCCTTTCACCTGAGTGTGTATACAGGAGTCCCTGCACAATATGAAAAAGAATATGTAGTCGATTCCTAAATTAGGGTACTGCTTTAACATTTGTAATAAATCGGGGAGATTCACGCTGAAGATTATCTTTGTGCTACTTATGAAAGGAAGAAAGAAAGAACTTTATGTGCTGTAAGCCAGCTATGTGGCCCTGGGCAAATCACTTAGCACCTCCGTTTGCAGGCTCCTCTCTGGCCAAGTAAGATGGTTTTCATGCCTTCTGCCCTCCAGTGCAGGCCACTGAGGTTCAACATAGGCACTGCCTATGTATGGCTTATTCTACTTAATTTTTTAAGCCTCTTAAAAATCCATTTGATTATAAGCAATTTGCCACACCTAGTCATTAAAATAATTTTATAGGACCTCACTAAACAATTCTGCTGGACGAGCTACTGTACACAGATGAAAGGAAAAAAGCATTATTACTTACAACTTAAAGTAGAACTTAGACAAGTCTTGTCTGTATTTTGTTCAGAATACTGTTGTTTTCTTCTATGCATGCCCTTTAAGTATAAGTAAGTGGAAAAGCTTATGGGTATATAATGGGTGATGGAAGTTTTGCTTTGCTGTATGGCCACTGAAAGACCCTTAGTAAAATATCTAAGCCTTGTATACAATGAAAGAAGTGCTGCATTGGAAGAGTAAAAAGACAAGGAAAAACGATGGTCTATTTATATATTTATAAAAGCAATTTAAGAGCTTTCTCATCAGCAGTATTCTTGGTTTCTGTGGCCCTTACTGACATAGTGTGGCTCCAACAGCTACTGGGGTGCTCCCATGTGGACCATATGCAAAGAGTAACTCAGCAATTGCCTAGGAACATAGTAGCTTCTGATGATTAGGAGAGTGGAAAGTCCCAGTTTAAACTGACTTTATTCTTCTAGAACAGTGGTCCCCAACCTGGCACCAAGGACTGGTTTCATGGAAGACAATTTTTCCATGGATGGGGAGATGGTTTCAGGATGATTCAGGCATATTACATTTATTGTGCACTTTATTTCTATTATTATTACATTGTAATAAATAATGAAATAATTATACAACTCACCACAATGCGGAATCAGAATCAGCAGGAGCCCTGAGCTTGTTTTCCTGCAGCTAGACGGTCCCATCTGGGGGTGATGGGAGACAGTGACTGAGCAGACAGGAGGCGGAACTCAGGTGGTGATGCGAGCGATGGGGAGCAGCTGTAAATACAAGTGAAGCTTCACTTGCTTACCCACCACTCACCTCCTGTACAGCCCGGCTCGGTTCCCAACAGGCCACGGATCAGTACCCATCCAAGGCCCAGGGACTGGGAACCACAGTTCTAGGAGAAACTGCTAATGCTGAGAATACAACTCTAAAACTTATTTTTTAGATTCCGAAACAAAGTACCAAGTAATATTATTACATAAATTAGAATAATAAAAATTTCTTTCCTCATGTTTGACAAGTCATATTTGTATGTGTGTGCATGTTCATGTATACTGTTAATATATGGTGTCTGCATACTTCCTCTACTACACCATACAATAAGTTTTTCATCTTCACCTCTTGTCTCCATTAAAAGTCTCACCTCTGCAATAATGAGGATGTCAGGTGAGTTCTATTACCAGTGAATAGTGACTGCCCACACCAGAGCAGCTTTATTGCGAGTTGAACAAGTTTAAAAACCAAAAAGGAGTCACGACTCTTATAGGACAAGGAAAATAGATTCAAATAATGTCACTGGTATATGTCTCAGAAGTTGGCAAAATATTCTAAAAGAGTGGAGGTAAACTGCTGTCATGAGATTTATACCAGCCTGGTAAATTATTATGGATCTGATTGCTTTCTTCTAGTTTTTTCTCTGATGGCAGTACCTATAATAAATTTGTGAGGTTTACCTGCTTTTCTGCTTGGCAGCGTGCATTTTCCACGGTTCCTAAAGGCTTCTCTTTTTATGCCACAGCTGGACTACTGACTACCGATCCCCGAGTCAGAGAACGGAAGAAGCCAGGCCAAGAGGGAGCCCGAAGAAAGTTTACCTGGAAGAAGCGCTGAGGGCTTTTTCATAGGAAGAGAGGAGGAAGGGCTGTACATACCTGCCTGGCGTGTGGCAGACACACAGTGAACAGTGGCTGACCCACGTGAGGGTGGCACTATCAGAAATTTTTTTTGAGTTGTGAGAAGACTTATTATTAAATGCTCCTTTGTAAAGGTGACTTTTTAAAAATAAGAAAAAGAATGTGTACACATGGAAGCAGAGTGTGGAATGATGGACACTGGAGACTCAGAGGGGTGTGAGTGACTTCACCACATGTAATATATCAATGTAGCAAAATTGTACGTGTCCCTCATACATAAATTTTTTAAAAATGGAAAAAAACTCTAAACTTTTTTTTATTTGTAAGCTTTATAAGCTCTTGGGCTAAATCTGTATAAATGTGCTTTTTATTTTCTAGATACTCAATGAAAGTTTATACTTATCTCTCACTGCATCATATCCGATTGCAGACACCAAAGCACAATTTATAAGCCAAAAAAAAGAAAGATTGTTAGCTTTACTCCGCTGCTTTATTTTTTAAACTTTTTCAGAAGATAGTTTTAGGAGCATAATTCATACATAGAATGTTTGCATATTGGACCTAAAAGGAAATTATAGTTGAGTTACCTCATTTTGCAGATGAGAAAGTTCAGCCCCAAAGATTAGGCAACCAACCAGAGCCAGACCATTGCTCCTTTAATGCTCCAGCTAGGCTAGAACTCATTCCTCTTGGTTCTTTTGTTTCCCTGTGACATATGTTGCAGCATAAGAGGTCAGAGTGCTTGTACGAAGCATGAAATACAGTGTGTACAGTGCGTGTCTGTGTGCAGAGCTGCCAGGGATGGGCGTAGCTGGTGCAGACACAGCCAGGCCTGTGATGGCTAAACAAGCCCACGCCTGGGAAAGTGCCCCAGCCCCCATTTGGATCCATTTGTTTTTTTTTTAATTTTTTAAATTGTATATATTAATATTTAAGGTGTACAACAGGAAGTTTTGATACACAGAGTGCGAAGTGATTGCTGCAGTCAAGTAAATGAACATATCCATCATCTCACGTAGTTACCATGTACACGCACAAGTGTGTGGAAAAAGCACCTAAATGTCCTCTCAGCAAGTTTCCAATGTGCAGTACAATTAACTGTAGTCCACATGCTGCACATTAGATCTCTAGACTTACTCATCCTACTTAACTGCAACTTCTTTTTGACCAACGTCTCCCCATTTCCCCCACCCTGCCCCTGCCCCAGTAACCACTGTTCTATTCTCTACTTCTATGAGTTTGACTTTAAATTCCACAGCTTAATGAGATCGTGCAGTGCTTGTCTTTCTGTGCCTGGCTTGTTTCACTTAGCATCACATCCTCCAGGTTCACCCATGTTATAGCACATGGCAGGATCTCCTTTTTCAAGGCTGAATAGTATTTCATTTGTACATGTACCACATTTTCTGCATTTGATCAATTTTGGATTCCATTTTGGATCAGCACAGTTGTGGAGAAAAGTGTCTTCAAGCTTCCCCTTTCCCAGAGGGCCTCAGCAGAAGTGTCTGAGGAAGGACCAGGCCAAGGGGAACAGGTACAGAGGCCTCTGATGAAGGCACCTGGCTAGGATCGCAGATACACTCAGGAAGAGCGTGGACAGCCGGGAGGTGGGCTGAGTCGGTGACCGCATCCCCCCAGAGCCTGTCATGCGCTGACTGCACAGGTCAGGTGTGCAAGGAGAGCAGTTTGGCCCCTGTGAAGCCCACCAGGCATGGTCTTGGTCATTGAGTGGTTGAACCTAGAAGATCACACATAGGTGTTTGGTCAGGAGCTGGACTCCTCAGTCATAGCTAAGTGTTAACTTGAGTTTGCTAGAGGATTCCCAAAGTCCCTTAGATGAAGAAATGTATGCATTTTAATTTTAATGCAATTTTGCAGTAGGTTTTTAAGGTGGGGAAAAGGCAGTTGGTGACAGGGGTACTCAAAAATCCATTTCAATGCAATTATTTTAATTAAGTAAAAATATTGCTTCAAGAATTAGACCCTCGATGCTTAATTTTCCTTTATGTATAAAGTTGTATACCACCGATTTCTTCATGAATTCTGTTTGTAAAAAGTTGGATATGTTCTGAGACATGTATGTACACATTAAATCCTTATATAGTAAAATAACATGGTTCTTTCCATGTAGCATTCCAATGACATTCTGTAGTGAAATCATCTGTGTCTGGTTTTGGTCAGCAACGTTGATTTAGCCTGTATCTGTTGGAGCATGCTTTTTACCACTTTGACAAGAGAAAAGCGACCAGTGCTTCCTCCCCATGGCGTGGGTGCACTGAGATGTGGATGACGGGGCTGTCTTGCCATTGCCGCTGGCCCCTGGGCCAGTGCAGAGCTCACGGCAGTGGACGCCGTCCGGTCCTGGGTGTGCTTTCAGGGTAAAGCCAGGACGGGGCTGAAGAAGGGGGCCTTGAGGACGGTAGCACTTGGATGAAGAGGCCATGGGAGTTCGGATGGAGACAGCGGCGAGGGAGGAGGAAGATCAGTGCATCTAGCTGACACCTGGGGGCAGGGGACCTTGCTGGGACTGGCTGGGAATGAGGCAGAGGCTGCTGGTGGAGGGCCTGCAATGTCACCACGATGTCACTGTGCTGCTAGCGGGGAATCACTGAGCCCTTTTTTTCTCTCCTTTGAGAGAACTGCAATGATAGTTGAGATCAGAATGGTGGTTTCAAACTTTTATCAACAGGACCCTTTTTAAAAAAATGTTAAGTAGGGTCACATTACGTAATATAACAAAAAAAATCTGAGCCTTGTTAGGTCCCACCTTTTTGTGAGGCACGTCTCAGGAAGCCAGAGCTCCAGGGAAAAGGCTTTGCAAATCTCTGCTTCAGGAAGGTCCCTGAGCTACAGCAGGAGCAGGGAGGGCCCAGGAGGAAGCCTTTCCGGAGGCTGCTGTCATAGGACAGGCACAGGCGTGGCTGGGCCAGGACAGCATGGAGAACAGAAAGAGGGGTGGGTGGGACATGTTGCTGAGCCACCTGGCCAGAGCGTGCGGGTGACCGTGGTGGCGGCTGACTGCAGGGGCAGGTGTGAAATACGAGATGGAGCAGGCTGCTGGGAAGAAACGCTGGTGGGAACAGGCGGTGCCAGCAGAGGGGTCCTGGGTTTTGTTGAGTTTCAGGTGTCGGGGCCACCTCAGTGGAGAAGTGTGGCACACAGTGGAAACAAGGGCTGTGACTTGGAGGATGAGTCAAGCCGCTGACACACTTGGGTGGCTGTCGCATGGAAAGGGGATTGGGTACACGGGCTGGGGACAGCAGGGAGGAACCCACCAAGCTCACCTCTCACGAAACACCCTTCAAGTTTAAAGTCCAAAGGAGGAAGGAGTGACAAGAAGAAGGGGAGCTAGGCACAAGTGGTCAAGGAAGTCAGTGACAACAGAGAAGGAGCCATTGGAAGAGGCCGTCTCTGAGCCCTTTCCCTGTAGTGTCTGGACAAGGGCAAGAACTGGAGCAAACACCAGCTCGTGACCCTGGCAGGTCACTGTGGCCCTGCGAGTCTGTTTCCTCACATCAAATTGGGGTCCTACCAGCCCCCCATCCTTGTCAGGTAAGAGTGTGAAAGCCTGGGTGCCTGATCTGTTCCAGCTGTAAGTCAGGAACGCCAGTGCGCACAATGTTGATGTGCGGCCACTGAAAGAGAGGATTAAACTTCATCCAAGCTCTTCCCCTTCCTTTGTTCGGGCGGGAGGGAGGCTCCTTGTCCCCCGACTGTTCCTGCAGAGACAGGAAGCGCTTAGCTTCCAGTCCCCGAATCTTGACCTCTGCCTTTGCTGGAAACACCTCTTGGGGAGTATCTCTGAACACCTACTGTGTGCATAGCATGGGGAAGGGCTATGGGGCTATTTTTTTTTTTTAATGGGCATTGGATAAGACTATTATTGCCTTGAGATATCAGTAAGAGATAACACTTCTATAGCTCCCACTCTGTTCCAAATACTGTTCTAAATACTTTACCAATAACACATTTAATCCTCACAGCAGCCGGATGAGGTAGATACTGAGAAAGTGAGTGATCAGGGAGGTTCAGTGTCGTGCCCAAAGTCATAGGGCTAGTGAGTGCCCATGCCAGGCTGAAGCCCAGAGTCCTGGCTGCAGGGCCAGTGCTCTGGGCTACTGAGGAATATTTCCAGGTGGGACGTGGTAGCACCTAGGTGGCCTGTGCCAGCACAGGCTGCAGAAGGAGGGAGCAGGTCGCCTGGTACAGTCAGCCAGAAGGCTTGGAGGAGGCGGGATTTCAGCCACATCCTACTGGATGGGTAAGCGTTGGTTAGCATTTGTACAGTGCTCTGCAGCCAACCTAGAGCCCTCATCATCCCCAGGGAGGGGATGTCACAGCCACTCCATCTAGACAGGACCATTATGAGGACAATGTGTGGCCACATAACTAAAGGAGATTCTGGGTGAAGGGTGGGAAGAGCTACAAGGGCCCAGGGGTGAAGTCAGAGAACGTGACTGTGCCCCAGTGTGACCACCACACAGTTCCCCCTCTGACTCCCAAGTGTCCGTGTCCTGGTTTGAATGATGCATCATACATGGTGACTCTAGGGTGTCTGCAAAACACTGAAATAGCTCCCCAAGTGTTCTGTATGTGTGCGTTGTTTCTGGGCCCAGGTCCACTGCCCTCGAAAGATGCCCAAGGGGGTCCAGCCCCATGATATTAAGAACCACTGGTATGTGGAGTTCTTTTTTTCTTAAGGAAAATGAGTCTGGCCTTGTGTGCAGCACCAAATGCAGGGGGGAGCAGAGCAGATGTTGGCAGGATGCTCTGGAGACAGTGCCCGTAGCAGGTGGGAGTGCAAGGCCCCAGCACAGAGGGCTTGGTGGTGCTCTTCATCCGAAGCTGGGGCATGGGCACATGAGTATTCACTTTATTATACCTTCCAAATGTGCCTCCTATGCTTCTTATCATGAACTATTGTATAATGCAAGTAAATAAGAAACCACCCGAGGCAGCACATAGGCGGTTCCTAACACGGGCTCTGGAGTTCCATGTGAGTGTGGGCAAACTGGCCTCCTTCAGCCTCCACTGCTCGTTTGTGAAGTGGGGAGAACAGCGGATTCTAAAGAATTTCGAGGATTTGGTAAAATCCACATGAGCCCCTTAGCCATAAGAAGAGCTGTATAAATGTTGGCTGTGAGTCTCATCAAAACAATCC